TTTTTCTACTATAGATATATATTAACAATTTGCAAAAATCTGTCTATTACTGTAATTTCCATAAGAAAGGCTGCATCTACTTAAACACATCTACTTAAATGAACTCTTAAACAATACTTAAATACATGCATTATCAGTGAAAGCTGAATCAGTTAGAAGCTGAATCAGTGAAAGCTGAAACAGAAAGCTGAATCAGTTGCACTATGAGCTTTAATGATAATCATACTTACATAAAATGACTTTTGAATGGCAGATCTCTTTTTTCTACTATAGATATATATTCATAACAAATTTTGCTAAAAATCTGTATATTACTGTAATTTCCATAAGAAAGGCCGCATCAGCGTAAACGCCGCACTCGAGAAAAATGGGCAGGAAAAAAAATTTAAATTACACAGAAACGTCGCAATAGATCTAAATTGCGCGTGACATCGTCGTGGGCCGTACAGATGCAAAATCTCAATCTATGTCCTTGATATATGACATACCAGTTAAGAAAAAAATGCATGAAATGAAACCATAACTCAAAAATAAATTAAAAATAAGAAATGTATAGCTTCTGTGCCATTTAGAGACATTTTCAAAAATTTTCCGCTCCCTCTTACTTAAAAAACTATCCAACAAGTACTTGTACCCAAACTGATGGGATCTGTATTTGGCAGAATGCCAAGAAGAAAAATCCATTCATGCTGAAGGGGAAATACGTCAGAGTTCGTTATTGCGAGGCAGGTGGAGTCGTGTCCGCCTTTGAAAAAAATTGCAGAAAAGGCAGGGGTCGGAGAGGATGGGTCCTGGAAGATTCATCGAATGGCAGAGAGAGAGAGAGACTATTCAAACTGATGAGAATGTTGATTTGAAAGGGGGAAGAATGTTATTGTTCTGAGATCTCGTTTAGGGTGAATAAGGCATGTAGGTCCTGTTCAAGGGAAAGAAGGTAAACAAATAACGTTCGCAAAAAGCAACTGAGTGGTCTTTGTGTGGGAACAGCACCAGTCTATGCACAATGACAAGGCCATCCAAACTATGTACAATGACCATCATAGGAAATATTTTATTTTTAGTGCACCTAAACGCCGCACCCGCTGAAAATTTAAGTTTTAAACACGTAAACGCCGCGGCGTTTCTTCCGGAAATTACGGTAGTTTTTCAGAAATTTGACATAATGTGCAAATTCTCTTAATTTTGCACATAAATATACATATACTGCACTTGCACAATCCAAAGACTACTTGGATTGGAAAAAGATAGGTAAGTCTTCTTACCTGGTTATTTTAATACTCAAGAATTGTTTATATAACAATACTAAAGAGCGAGTTTCCAATTCAACTGTTTGTGTTTTAACTCAATAAATGACATGGAAATTGAGGAATAAAAGCAACATTTTCAACTAGCATGAACCATGAGAGAATTGAAATCTAATTAGTGACGAAAAAGTTCACAATGCAGAAATATGACAGAGCTGATTGCTTTCTAAAACATTTACATCGATATACAAGAATGTTTCTGAAGATGAAGAAATTGATGAGAACTTCCTTCTTAGAGCTAAGATGGATTTGGTTTATTTAATTATGATAAAACACACGAGGGCTAATTTCCTAAGGGAGGGATGTCTTCGTGAAGGATCTTCTATGGGGAGCTGTCTCATATAGAAATTGCACATATATATAAAAAAGCCCATGCAGCTAGCGTGTTCACCTGGAATCGAACTCAGGTCAGAACCACCATAGTTCAGCGGCTTGGCCACGGGTGGGCTCATTTTACTAGTATTGTGGTATAGTATTAGCAACATAATTTCTAGAATGAACAGTTTATAAATGAAGTTTAGGATAATAATACCAGCAATTTTACTTTTATTTCTAATAAAAAATCATATAAATCTCTATATCCATATACTTCTACACAATTCTTAAGTGAAATGAGATTTCAGGGAAATACTTTTCTTATCATTTAAAGATATCATTCAAGTAAAGTTCTAAAAAGAATGGTGGCAAATAAGCACATAATGTCATACTAAGAGTAAATAATTTACTTATGTACATCATTCTTCAACCATTTTCATTATAAAATATGTTTTGAACTTTCTAAAATGTGAATCTGAAAAAAAAAAAAAAAAAAAAAAAAAAAAAAAAAAAAAAAAAGGGGGGGGGGGAACCTGGTTTAAAATGATAACTAGTTTTGGGATCAAGGGAATCACTTTTGTTTTCTCAATGATCGAGTGCAATCTGATAATGCGAGGTTTTTCTTCACCAACTGAAACACCTCATCAAAATTCTCTGGACTTTTTTTTTTTTTTATATTATATATATAAGGAAAAATGTTATGGTATATATTAGTCCTTTTTTAATATTAAAAAAACAAAAATGTCAAGATTTTCACTTTTATGCAGAGAGACTATGTAGCTGATCCAAAAAAAAAAAAAAAAAAAAAAAAAAAAAAAAAAAAAAAAAAAAGATTAAATTTTTGTTACACACTTATTTCATTTTAAGGCACAAGAAACAGATGAAAACAGCCACTGCACTCACTTGCCATAATAGAGCAAACTTAACAGCTTAACCTGTAACATGCAATTTTAAATGTTGCCAAACTTTTATATTATGATTATTTGTTGGAATGCTTGCTTTGCCACACACTATAAAAAATTCCCAACTTAAAATTAAAGGTCAATTTTAAAACTTGAATGCAAATTCACATAAGAAAATGCAATGCAACAAAATTTTGAGTTCAATAATAAAAGAGCTCTGCTGGCCAGCTGCCATTAACATAATATCAAGATTAAAAAAATATATATATAACCACATTTGGATTTAATTTCTATTTTTGCACTTTAACACAATGGGTATCCATCCTACTCTGGAATAACAGTTCATACATAAAACAAAAATAACACTTCTCAGTAGCAATTTCAATAGTGAAACTATATGAATTTTTAAGTACTACCATATTACAGATTATTAAATTTCAGAGATATCAAAGCATATAGACTACCATTAAAAATTTTCAACCCAATGATTTCACTTGCAGATTAATGCTTTGAAATATTATTTCAATCTTACAAAGTGTAACTGTAAATAAAGTTGGCAATGAAAATATAGATGGAAAATGGTAAAACATACTCAAAATTTTTTACTAGTTGATATAAACATAGTAATGCTCCCATGCAAACATTGGAATCATTCATTTGAAGATATACAGATATCTTGTCAACAATTCCAGTCCATTTTCCAGGAAAATCATGTTTAACAATATTACTCACACAAACAGCAAGCTGAACCCTTTAAAAATAAAAATAAAATTATATGTTTCAGAAAATAAATAATCAACATAAAAAAATTAAAAATAATATAGATAGGGCACATCAAACATTACAGCTATGTACACAAATTCTTCATATTTTATGTTCAGTTCATGACGGTAAAGGATATTATTTATTAAAAAATAATTCAAGACAACTATACACATATTAATTAGAATGAACACAAAAACTATGAAAAATATTAAATATATTTTCCGCTCAAAATAAATACTGATCTATTCAATATATCACTATCAGTATAATGCTACTTCATAAACTAATTTTATTTCATGCACAAGCTCAACAAGTTAAAAAATATTCTGTCATAAGCATATACTTTTATAAGCTGATAAGAATTAATGTCAGTTTATAAAAGTTTGTACATGTGCACAGTAAGTCTCCAAAAAAATACCTAATTTTGTGAAATCAAACACTTCTTTTAAAAATCTTAAGTCAATTAAACTTATTATGTTTAAAATGTACTAAAAGTTTTCATTAGATTTTATTTTGGTATGTACAGGATGTTCCAAAATAGAAAATATATATATTATATATATATATATATTATCTTAAATAATGAATACAGAAGAATAAATCTTTGTAGTGATCTCCCATATCAAAATAGTAAAAAATTTAGAATTTCGCTCTAGATTTTTTTTTTTTTTTGTCTCAATTTTGTGTCCTTAGGGTCCATAAGTTATAGTTCATGCAAAATTTTACCACAATTTAAATTATTTTATATACCGCCCCTTAAAGGGTTAACAAGCTCTCAAGTGGTTACATACTGATCTTTTTCCATAAGTTCTCGCAGGCTGGCCTCATCAGCATCAGTAGGCCGGCCAGAGTGCTATGCTTCTTGAATGTCATAGTCCTTGTTTTTGAACTACCAAACTGTCACAAGTGTCATATAATACAACATTAGTACCTAAAGCTTTACACATGATTTGGTGACATTCTGTTGCTGATATTTTGTAACAGAACTGGAAGAAAATGATGGTTCTAATCCGGTAGCGTGATAGTTTCATTTCAGACACCTTGTACTTAATGATATTTTCTTACAAATTTTAGAATGCAATGTTCTAAAGCAAATCTTTTCCTTTCAAATGCCAAAAATCATTCGACAAAATATGATTAAACATGCCAGTGCAAACTGTTTGAGAAGACAATATTTGCGGTGGTGAAACATTTTCTTTAAAAACCTGATATATGCATTTATACAGTCAAAAGTCTTTAATCCGGACGTCCATAATCCGGAATGATCTACAATCCGCACCTCAAAGCTACAAACTTTCTGTGCATGCGTCAACGCATGCGCATAATACGTTGACGCATGCCTGATTAATGTATAACGGACAGTATAGGCTAAAATTATGTAATTATCTATTTCAGTTAATGTTGCAAACTGTATTGTTTCTTAATCTTCTAATTGGATCTGGCTTATTATTTTTTGCAGACTGTTAGAGCAACTTTATAAAAGTAAGCTCGAACTTTCGATTATGTCAAAAAGAATTTCCGATTCTGGAGCCAAAGGCAATGTAGCAAACAAGCAATGCCATCTCACAAAAATGTTTTATGTAATTTGCCTTGCAGGGGGAGGGGGCAACGACGCAGCAGCACTCAATTCAGGGAACAAAAACTGGACAGCACTATCCTTATCTTCAGAGGCAAATGTTTTATTTTATTCTTTTATAATCCTTATAAATGAATTTAATCTCAATTTCCGTCTTTGATATGATTTAGATCAAATTCTCGTCATTATAAATATCACGAATACACATCAAATAGTTTTCTGGTTGCAATTTTCTAATTTCGATATGCATAATGTATGCTTTACGCACGTGCGCGTTGAAAGAAAGGTTAATAAAGTAAACAAATAACTAAAGCTTTTTTTTTTTTTGTAAATTTTATACCCTTTAGATCATAATGCTCTTTATTTCATAAATTACAATTCGTATCTTAATTTATAATTTCTGCATGCCATCTTAAATTACGGTTTCGTATTTTTAATTTATAATTACTGCCATACTTACCTTTGAAACTGATGATCTATAATTCAGAAAAACGATAACCGGAAGCGCCGAAGTCCCGGGGACTTAAAAATTGTACATAAATGATAAGTTAATGGGGAGGGAGGCGTATTTAACTTTGATTCTTTAAAATAGGTCATATAATCATATTACCTCGTTATTGTACACGTTGCATTTGATACTGTAATTCTTTTGTAGATAACTTGCTTTTTTTTTTTTTTTTTTTTTTTTTTTGTATTCCCACTAATGTGTGATGACTTGGTTTAATAAGGCACCATTTAGCAAGACGAAACAAACATTTATTAAATATATAATTCAAAGCATAATATAATAGTTACTCAGAGCAGTACGTCGCTCCTACCGCATAGTACAATCTACTACCTTCCTCTTCCGAGGCTAACATGCAACTCCTAATAAATACATTAACCCTTCTCGAAGAAGAGCTACCTGCGCCAAGCATGCTCTGTTGATCGCCAAACAGTCGCCAGATATCACACCCCCGTCGTAAGATTGTTGTTGATATTATTTACAAATCAATCAGCAATCTGGAAACTAAAATCTAGCAACTGTTTGCGATCAACGTGAAAAAGAAAAAAAAAAAAAAAAAACTACATATACTTTTATACATTCTCTCCTAATTTTCAAATCTCAATTACTATAGACATACCTCAATTTACTACATAAACATAGATAACACATTTTTATATATAAACATAGATAAATCATTTTTAACTTCACTTGTTCCGAACCTTATTATTATTGTAACAATTTATCAATTCTTAATTCAAAGAAACCAAGTTGATATTTTCTTTTATAAACATGTTAAAATATACCCTAGTATTATTCCAATGATGACAGTAAAATTATTAAGTTTCTTATATATATATAAAAATTATATTCTTAACATTCCTTTTAATTAATGATGCTGCAGCATGATTTAAATCCTTGGGAGACAAATATCTAAATTTACCACTTACCTCGAATATTTGTTATCCAATAATTTCTCTATCTATTTCAAATTACATAAACATCTTATTTGCACAAAATTGTAAAATGATTATGAAAAGCAAAGAAAACTATCTAATTATTAACTATACAAAATGTTCGTGAAGATGAACAGTAAATTAATGTTCAAAGTTCACAAGTGGGAAGTCTGGATAATGCATCCGCGTTTGACAGTTTTTTTTCCAGGGCAATGTTCTATTTCGAGATTATATTTCTGCAAAGCTATGGCCCATCGTTGTAATTTGGACGATTGCGGAGCATTTCTCACTATAAAGGCTAGAGGATTATGATCAGTCACAATTTTCACCGATGAACCGAATATCCAAGGTTCAAACTTCTTCAATGCCCATACTATAGCATAAGCTTCACGCTCTATAGTCGGCCAGCTCTGTTGAGGTTTCGATAATTTCTTGCTCGCGTAGCAGATGGGAAATTGCTTCTCTCCCCTTTGCTGTGACAAACATGCACCTATTCCGATTTGGGATGCATCAGAATGAATGACAAACGGATCCTGCAGTGTTGGGGTGATCAGCTCCGTTGACATCGCTAATCGTTCCTTCAGTTGTTGAAATGTTGACTCATGAATTTCTTTCCATTCGAGTATTTCCGGTTGTTTATTTTTCGTGAGTTCTGTGAGTGGGTAGGCGATCTCTGCATACCCTGGGATATAATCGCGATAATAATTACATAGTCCTAACAGACTTTTAAGATCTCTTTTCGTTTTCGGCGTTTCCAGCTTCTTGATTGCCTCTATTTTCTCGGGATCTGGTTGATGTTTTCCTGATCCAATGATGTGTCCTAAATATTTAATTTGAGGTTTTGCAAACGAACATTTCTTCGAATTGATAGTAAATCCAAGTGACTCTAGTTTGGTAAAAACTTTATCCAGATGTCGGAGATGAGTGTCGAAATCCGTGGAAAATATAGCTATGTCATCAATATAGGCTCTTGAAAATTGTTGAAATTCTTTCAGCGCGTTATTCATTACTCTCTGAAAAGTTGCTGCTGCGTTCCTTAATCCAAAGGGTAGCACTTTAAACTGATATTGACCTCGATGAGTTTTGAACGATGTGTACTCTTTACTTTGTTCCTCCATGGGAATTGCCCAATATCCTTTCAGCAAATCTAAAGTTGTTATGACGTTGGCTCTTCCTATACTGTACATTAAATCAATGGCATTTTGCATAGGAAAGTCATCTGGCTTCGTCACTGCATTCAAAGCTCGATAATCTAAGCACAATCTGATATCTCCATTTTTTTTGCTTACACAAACTACTGGATGAGCTATTTCTGCATTACTTTCTTCTATTAGTCCCGATTTCAATAATTCTTCTACTTCTTCATCGACCTTGGGTTTCAATGCTTCAGGAATCCTATAAATGTAAGGTTTCTTCCTCTCCATATTGGGTATTAATCTAATTTTATGAGCTTCAACTTTAGCTATTTTCAGCTTTCCGGTGAATAGTGCTCGGTGTTTGTTGATAAGAGCTATCAATTTTCTTCTCTGCTGCGGATTCAAATTTTCTAAATTCAGATTTGCATCTATTTTAAAATCTTCCAGGGGGGTCGAGAGATCTTTTCCTGGTAAAGTTATAATTTCTCCAAATTCTTCTTCATTTTCAAATATCACTCCAACTGCATTGACACTAGCTTGGAATTTTCTAATTTTATTTGCATGAACATGTTTGATCTTTCCATCAGGTAGTTTTACTTTATAGGAATGAGGTGGGCAATGATTCACGATTTCTCCTGGACCAGTCCATCGTGCATAGAGTTTGTTATTTGAATCTGGTATGAGTAAATAAACTTGTTCTCCGATTTTGAAATTTTTTGGTATTGATCTCCGATTAAAGTACTCAGCATATTTTTGTTGTTTATCACTTGCAATTAAATTGGCTTGTTCGGCTGCTTGTTCTAACCTTATTTTTAAAAGTTGTAAGTAATCCAC